TAATCCTGTCATTTTGTTGGAAAATTAATATAAAAAATAAGTGTATTAATTATTTTATCATTAAATTCTTTTATCAATTATTTTATTAACTATTAAAATATTCTATTATAAAAATATTTTATTCATGAATGCTATACAGATTTGAACAAATGACCCCCATACCTAACCTTCTAAGACATATTTATAGAAAAATAAATTTAATATTGTTGACTCATCTGTCATCTGTTCTTTACATATAGCTTTCCTGTCTTCATTTTCAATAGTCCACTGAAATATATGTCCAGGTCAACATTATAAAAATTTTTAAACAAAATTAAATGATAAAGTAATTGAAATTATTTATTGCTACTTAGGTCAGTTCTAATTAATAAAATGCTGACCTGGAGTCTCAGCAGAATTGTGAATAATTTTGCTCTATCTTCCTATTTCAAAACCTCTACCTTTGTATTCCCATAATTCTGAGTGCTAGGTTTTGCCTAACCTCATTCAGCCTGTCTTAGATCGGTGATTTTCATATCTATTAAAGGTAACAGTAGTGTTGACAGCAATAACATCCACTGAGGATATTGTTGTAGTTGGAGAAGCATTATCAGCTTTGAAAATACCAACTAGAGAAAGTGTAGCTTCAAAGAATCTTCTTGGTTAGTGGATGAATATAAAAAAATACACAATTTTCCATGTGCCTGAAATTCTCAAGTCAGAAAGCGGTCCCTTGCCCATATACTGTGTCCCCATCACAGTTATAGTCATGATCACTCTCCTTCCTATTAAAACTTTCCTTTGCACATTTTGATTAGTGTCCAGATTCCTGAAGCTATTTAATAAACCATGCTATCATGTTAATAAATGCAACTTTATCTTTAATAAATCTTTTGGAGTTATTAAAACCAAATCAAAACAAAAAAAATTAATCTTATTGTGTAAAGGAAATTTAGAATCAAGGTGAAGGTGGAATCTGGAGGCATGGAATTAGGAGCAGGTGATTAATCTTTCTTTCAATTATAGCAGATGTTGTATCCACATATAAATCTAGGAGTAAGTTTTGGTTAATCTGAGGCAGTTGTAATATGAGAGAAATAGTAAAATTATAATCCTTTAATAAAATCACTATATATGGAAATTCAGTGTATTCTCTTATTTAGTTTTGGACATCTCTTCTACAAATAGCAAATTTCAAATAACTTCAAAAAATTATCCAGGAATGTTGGGTCATAAAAGAAGTAGAAGTTTAATTTGAATTAATGTTACTTTCTTCAAAAAGTGTGAAGCACATACCGGATTTGATGCTTATCTTTTTTTTTTTTTTTTTATATATATATTTTATTGATTTTTTACAGAGAGGAAGGGAGAGAGATAGAGAGTTAGAAACATCGATGAGAGAGAAACATCGATCAGCTGCCTCCTGCACATCTCCTACTGGGGATATGCCCGCAACCCAGGTACATGCCCTTGACCGGAATCGAACCTGGGACCTTTCAGTCCGCAGGCCGACGCTCTATCCACTGAGCCAAACCGGTTTTGGCTTGATGCTTATCTTACACTTTTTAAATGGTCTGTGAGAAAGGTAAATACATATATGACTTCTTTGCTGATTTGTGTATCTACTGAATTTAAAAGTAAATACAAATTATGAAGTAATGAAAAAAGTTTAAAATAAAATAAAAATATTCAAAATTATTAAAAATTATGATTACAACTATGTAAATATACAACTATGTAAACAAATACTTGGTTATATTAAGGTTCTAGGATTAAGGCCTTTATTTTTCTAGATTCCAATATTTGTGTACTATAGTTGTTACTTTTATGATGTGAAGAATAAAATAAATATGCTTTTACAAGCTATCATAAAGATAAGATTAAATATAGAAAAGCATTTACTGATTCTAATTATAGCAAATTCAACAGCACTTATTAAATACTAGAGGCCGGTGCACAGATTTGTGCCGCAGTGGGGACCCTTGTTCTGGCTTGTGGGGATTGGGCCCAAACCGGCTCTCTGACTTAGCCCGAGGGGTCCTGGATTGCGAGAGGGCACAGGCCAGGCCAACGGACCCCACCGGTGCATGATCGGGGCCAGGGAGAGACCCCGGGAGGGCTCCAGGGTGTGTCCGGCCCCTCTCACCCAGTCCCAATCTGCTGGACCCCAACAGCAAGCTAACCTACCGGTCAGAGCGTCTGCCCCCTGGTGGTCCAGTGGGCATCATAGTTACTGGTTGAACTGTCGAAGATCAGACACTTAGCATATTAGGCTTTTATTATATAGGATAAGGATAATTCATGTACCAAAAAATACTGCATTTTCTTTAGAGTGTATTTCAGTGTAAGAAGAGCTCACAGTGTCAGAGTCCTAAGCAATTTTCAAAATTAATATTAAATAAGTTTTCATGTAAAGGGGTTAAGTAAATCTTAAGTTGTTTATTGTCTCCTCCAGACCTCCTTATTCCCCCAAACATCTTGAATAAAAACTCTACAAGGGTGGGGGTTCTTGTCTACCTTTTTAAATTATGTGTTCCTAGCATTTAAAAGTTTCTGGGACATAGTAGGGGCTTCATAAGTGTATATTAATTGAACAAATAACACATGAGAGAGATGTACAATGAACTAATGATTTATGTACAGATACTTCCAATGTACTCACCATCTCACCTATTTAGGCTGTATAACCAGAGCAATATAAACCTTGTGGGAAGGGTTAAAGATGCCTTGATTTGTAGAGAATGTAACAACTTGCAGCCAAGCAAAATCAACCTTGATAGAAAAACACCTCGCTCTAAGGAATAATGTGAGTATGTACAGTATGTATTGTAAGTAGGGTGGAGAGGTGTTAGGAATATCCCATAAGTCCTTGGTTTGCTTACCATAAATGGACCCTGTATTGCAATACAACCTAAGGTGGCACCCCCTCAGAAAGCTTTCCAGATTGTTTTGTGCATACTTTGAGTCTATCCTGAAGTCATAACTTTAATCCATCTGTTTCTTTCACATAGTGCCTCCTGCACTGTGGGGAAGTCCCGATAGCATAGAACACAAACCAAGCACATCAGTAATTGTTCATTTTGAAAGTGATTGAATCAATGTAGTAAGAAAATCATTTTATTTTGCTCATGGCCAATATATTCATTATTTCCTTTCATTCACTTAGGTGGGATTCTATGTAAATAATTTTTAGACTCTTTCTAATCTGCTTTCATTCTATAGCCTCTTTCTTTTCAGTTGCTATTTCCCTCTATGCTTCTTTTCTCTTTGTGGAAATATTTCACACTTCATATGCAAAACTGGAGGCATTCTCATGGATCCTTTGGACTCTGAGAAAGCATAATTTCCTTTCTCTAGCCTCAGATGTTTATAGTTTTAGGCCGAATCTGCTCTTTCCAGAACTTCTTGAATATTTATATTATAGATTAGAATCTCTCACTCTGAGCCCTAAGTTCTGAATCTTGTCATTCATTCAGTGTCTTCTGTGATAACTTCCCTTTTCTAGAGCACATATCTATCTTCCTGTCAAGATTCCTTTAAGTTTTGTTATTTCTTTTTGGTTCTGGCAAGTTCTCTAAACTCCACACATCTTTGTCATTTGCCCAGAACCACCAGCATCTTATTTTTCATCTCAGATGGTCATATTTCTCATTATTCACCTTTTAGCCCTGTTATTTCTTCTCTGATTGACATTAGCTCATTCATTCACTTATTCATTCAACAGATATTTAGTACACTACCAAGTACCAGAGCTGTGCTAGATGTTAGGATAAGCGGTAAAAGAAACAAATGTGGTCTACACCCTTGTGGAGCTGACTGTCCAGTTGAAACATAACACACTAATCTCACACATCTATTTCCATTATTAATTGTGTCTGACTTCAGAGGAAGGAAGTTTTTATTACAGAATTCTCTTATGCATTTGCACCCAAAAGGAATAAAATAATCTTACCTGTTTACCGGTACCTTTGGCACAATCTAAAGGCCATTTACTGTTTCCAACCAAAATGAATAGATTATCTTTTATAAAACTCTTGTCAATAATTATAACCAATATTTATTAGGCCTTGTGCTTCTTGCCCATTATGGGCATGATTTTCTATTGTCCCTACAACAAACTTATGATGAAAGAGGCACAAAGAAGTTAAGTCACTTGCTCAAAGTCATTGAGGTACTAAGTGAGAGAGTAGGGATTCGAATCCAAGTCTTTTTGTCCAAGAACCTGAGCTCTGTTGTCTCTCATGTTTGCTGGGTTCCATTCCTAGTGAAGTTAATCAGAAGTCAAATGTGTAAAATTTGTGTTTTCTCTTTGATCATATTAATATTTCTGTTCTATAAAATGTTGGGGAATATTTTTTCAAAAATGAAGATATAAACATATCTACAAAGCCAGTTTATGGTTAGTTTTGAGTATGAAAGAAAATATGACTTTTGAAACACTGGGAAATATTTACTACCAAATGGAAAATATTTTTGTGAAAAGATTGATTGCATGTGAGTATTATTATTTTAAATCATAAATAATTGGGAGTTAGCAAACTTTTTTTGTTAGTATTGAATTTTTTAAAATAAGATGAAAAGACAGCATACATAGTCCCCTCTAAGTCTATTATACATTTTTTTCACTTTATAATATTTATGTAACATATTTCATTAGAAAAATAAGAAATAGAGCATCCCAATCGAGACCTTACGTTCCAACCTGCTGTTATTGAAATTGTGTCCCCTTTTTTCCATTGTTTATAATGTTTATAAGACCTATTTTTTTATCCTTCACAAATTTTCACTTCCGGGAGATATTTTTCTTCTACATAATAATAGCCCACAAAATATTAAAAACCCAGCAGAAATTCTCTTGTTTTGTTTGTTTGCAACTTAATAATTTTCAATTTAATCTGATTGAATACATGTTTATGTAGTACTTAAAAGCACTCAACTTGCAGTCAAATAACAAGATCTTTACTTTTTTCACCATTAATGTTGGGCAAATTTACTTACTCTTTGCTTCTACTCTCATATAGAATGGCACCAGCTCCCTGTGACTTGCCTAACTAGAAGCTTCTTCTTTACATTGGGATTACAAAATTCTACCCAACTAGAATTTAAACTATCCAAAAACAAGGACATATAAACAAAAGGTATTGTATTAAAAAGCCATTGAAGAAATAAAGCAGTTTTGTCATATCTAAATTAATATCTACCCTTATTTTCTGCTTCTTAAGATACAGCTTTTAAAATATTTCAGTACAGTGTTGCTGACTTTCACGTCATTAGTTCAGTATAAATGTTTCATCATTGTTACATTGATTGTTCAATGGAAAACTTGAGCATAATAAGATCTTTGTCTGAGATACAAACCTTTATCTGAGGTTCCTATATATCTTTAAAAGATTCTCTCTCTCTTTTTTTAGTACCAAGTAATTAATCTTCAATATGAGAATATCATGTACTTTTAAGAGTGGTTCAAGCTTATTCTGTATTGGTTCATCATCTTTAAAAGAAAAAATTATCTTTACTTTAAAAAATATATCACCATGAATTTCTTGGAAGAAAGACATTATATAAATACAGGGTATCTTATCACTATTTATAGAATAGTTTTGCTATTTCTTTTAATGGTGGCTGTTTCTTTTCCTGAGGCTTTTCCTTCCAAATTAAATTGATTTTTTTCTTCAGATAAATACTCAGAAGTGAAATGCTGGTTGTATGGTGGTTTCTGTTTTTAATTTTTAAAATTAATCTCCATACTGTTTTCCATACTGTAAACTGGCTGCACTACTTTACATTCCCACCAGCAATGTGAGAATGTTCTCTTTTCTGCACATCCTCTGCAACACTTGATATTTCTTGTCTTTTTGGTAATAGCCATTCTGCCAGGTATGAAGTGATATCTCATTGAGGTTTTGGTTTGCAGTTCCCTGATGATTAGTGATAGTTGATGTTGAGCATCTGTTCATGTGTCTGTTGTTCATCTGCATGTCTTCTCTGGAGAATGTCTATTCAGCTCCTCTGCCCATTTTTTTAATTGGATTTTTTCTGTTGTTTCTATGGATTTTATGGCAGTGTTTCTATGAAAAATATTTTTAGGGTGTATCTATTTTCTTTACTCCACCCTTGCTCCTCAAACATAAAAACAACCCGACTACAGCTTTCACATGATTTCTGAGTCCCCTTATCCCTTGGTGCAATGCGAGTGGGAATTCCAACAGGCCCGGATTATGGCTGAAGGCTCCTTGAATAAGATGCAGGATGAGTATGGGGTTCTTTTTGCTTCTCCTAGCTTCTCTATTTTCATTCTTTACTTCTAGACTCTAGGAACTGTCTGCCTAAATCCTTTTCTGTTTATATTAGCTGTAGTTCTCATATTTATTTGGAAATAATGGCACTATGTTTCTTTCTTTTTAAATTATCCACTTCATCTCTGTGACTCTTTCATAAGGAAGCCTAATAGTTTTTACTAAGAGATGCATGATATGTGCTTTAAGCTATTAAATAACTGAGGCTGGGAAGAAAGAATATTGGTGTACTACTGTCAAGAAGTTAGAAAAAGTAGAAGAACAGTCTTTTCTTTTCTTGCAGATTATTAGGTTAAGTAACAGTTTCCTAAGGAATACTCCCATTGGACTCTTGCAATAAATGATCTCTCAATTTCACTCTGTCCTTTACAAATATACACAATGTACACGGTGATAGACTGCTTTATTTTTTATTTATTTTTTTATTTTAAATATAGTTTGTATTGATTTCAGAGAGGAATGGAGAGGAAGAGAGTGATAGAAACATCACTGATGACAGAGAATCATTGATTGGCTGCCTCCCACATGCCTGCTCACTGGGGATCAAGCCTGCAACCCAAGCATGTGCCCTGACTGGGAATTGAACCTACTGGTTCATAGGTTTATGAACTTTCTGATTCGTAGGTTGATGCTCAACCACCGAGTCACGTGGGCCGATTTGCTTTTATTTTATTTTCTTTTTCATATTTTTCTTTTAATCTTTATTATAGAAAGTATCACATAGGTTTCCCCCCCCCCTGCCTCCCATTAACCTCTTCCAGCCCTCCCCTATTCCCCCACCCTCAGGCCTGTGTCTAGGGGTTATGCATATATGCATACAAGTTCAAACTATCTTGCAAACAAGAATTTTTTTTTTCTTAGAAAGTAATCACATGAGAGGCTATGCGCTCATTTCAGTGCTGCTATTTTGTTTAAATGCTTTTGTAACTCAGATAGTCTTCACAGTCTGTGCCATTATTTTGAACGTTACCTGTATTATCAGATAATTTACAGACAGCTTTCTGAGTAATGATTAATGAGCAAGATTTTTGTTTTTGTGTTTTGTTTGTTTCTTGGTCAAAAACAAGTAAAAGTTAAAAAGCAGTAGACTTTTGTGGGGCTTTTAAATTAATTTTAGTATTTCTAGAAGAGGTTCAAAGCTATTTGGAACAATTGTAGCCTTGTAATCCTATACTTTGAATGGGGCAACATTTATTTGGTGTATAAGGTTTTGTATGTATTTTAAAATGCATACTCATTATATTTAGGTTTACTGTTATATAGGTGTATTTAAACATTCAGATATAGACATATATGACATAAGGTCATTGGGAAGTTGAAGCTATGGGAATCCAGATACAAAAGAATTTCCTTGAAAACCCAGCATGTTTTAATTTTTCTTTAATTGTTTTGAACTGATACATATATCTGGAAGAGCAGAGGAGACTGATCTGGAATAACATTTTTATAAGTAATGTTTGTTAAGTGCCCACGAAATAACATGTAATTACTGCCTATTGTATATTCATCCTATTTAATCTTCATAACAAATGACCCTACATGATTGATTTGGCCCCTGATTGTCTCTCCACCCTCATTTGTAATCCATATTCAGTTTCTTACACATCAAGCTCCTTCCTGTTTTAGAATATTTACAGCAAGTATTCCCTGTATCTTCCCTTCAGAATGTTCTTCCCTTCAGTCTTTTCCCTGTCTGGCTCTTGTTAGTCAGGTCTTATCTTAAATGTTAACTCCTCAGAGAAGTCTTCTCCAACCACCAACCACCAATCTAAAGAAATCACTCAAGTCACATCACCGTCTTTTCATTGGGTATAGCACCTCCTACCATCCAGTATTTTCCTATTTGTTTACATGTTTATTGTTTCTCTTACCAATGAAATGTAATGGAGCTCCAGAAGAACAGGAACCTTACCTGTCATGTTCACCACTTTTTAAACAGCCTGGCCAAGAAATAGCTGTAGGAATAAATGGATGAATTGGGTCTAGAAAATGTAACAGATTATTCAGGTTAAAGTAGACTAGAAGTAATGAGGATTTAAGGATGTTTGGACCAGTGATTCTCGCAGCCTGCTAAACAAACCTGGCCAGCAGCATCAGCATCACCTGGGAATTTGTTGGAAATGCAAATTCCAAGGACCTATTGAATCAGAAGTTCTGGTTGTGGGACCCCACACTCTGTTTTATTTTTTTAAATATATATATATATATATATATATATATATATATATATATATATATATATATACATTTCAGAGAAGGAAGAGGAAGAGATAGAAACATCAATGATGAGAGAGAATCATTGGTTAGCTGCCTCCTGCACCCCCACAACTGGGGATCCAGCCTACAATGCAGGCATGTTCCCTGACCAGGAGTTGAACTGGTTCCTGGGTTGATGTTCAAACATTGAACCACACCAACTGGACTGCACTCTGTTTTAATAAGCTTTCCAGGTGGAGATTTCAATGTAGAATCACTGATTTAGATATTTCTTTGCACCAATGCTCAGAATTATTAGTTTTGTTTGTTTGTTTATAAACCAGATTATTAATTTAAAATGTATTTTTTCTGTGCATGATTTTGTTATCAGTATATTCTTTAAATTTTCACATATCAGACATTTCAAAAATATACAACTCCAATCAAGAGTCAATATAGATAATTCAGTGAATTGAAGACATAATTTTGTTTATTTAAATAGCTTAAGACTCAGCTTCCAAAAGTATTTAAAAAAATTTTAATTTCTAAAGAAGTTTCTTTCTTTGGAATTTCCTTGAACCTGCTTCAGAGAGTAATTAAAGTTTTAATAAGTTGTAGACAAAACTTGATCAAAATGTATTGGCATTCTAAGGATTAGTATATCCTAGTATTTCTTACAAACCTCTAGGAAAATTCAGTTCAGAGCCTTGTATTTGAAGCCTACTGCTCTAAAATGAAGGTTTACTCAGGGACTTTAAAATGTTTTAAAATCCCATTTATATTGTATCTGTCTTGAAATTTTAATTTCCACTATCATCTTTATATGTGCCCTTTAAGTAGTATTAATAACTACATTTAGTAGTATGAGTATCCTATATAATAAAAGAGACATGCATGCCCTAGCCGGTTTGGCTCAGTGGATAGAGCATCAGCCTGTGAACTGAAAGGTCCCAGATTCGATTCTGGTCAAGGGCACATGCCCGGGTTTTGGGCTCAATCCCCAGTGGGGGACTTGCAAGAGGAAGCCGATCCATGATTCTCTCTCATCATGGATGTTTTTGTCTCTCCATCTTCCTTCCTCTCTGAAATCAATAAAAATATATTTTTAAAAAAGAGAGACATGCAAGTTAACCGTCCCTCCACTATGCTCAAACCACACCCACAAGCCACGCCCACAAGTCAATCAGGAGTGAGTATGCAAATTAACCCAACTAAGATGGCGGTGGCCACTGAGCTGGAGCGAGCAGGAGGCTTGGGTTTCCCCCAGCAATGGAGGAAGCTAAGCTTCCTGCCTGCCCTGCCTGGCCCTGGCCTTTGCTCAAGGCTACAAAGTTTCAATTATAGAAGATAAATAAATCCCATAAAAAAAAAAAGATAAAAAGGAGAGGCTGGGAACTTGGGTCGCCGGGGAGCATGCCAGCCTGAAAATGGCCCTTAGCCCCTCACCCAGGCTGGTCACACCCCCATGGGGTGAGGGTTCCTGCTAGGGGGCTTGGCCAGCCTGCAAACAGCCATCAGCCTCTCACCCAGGCTGGCCAGCTACCCCAGCGGGACCCCCACCCTGATCTGGGACACCCTTCAGGGCAAACCAGCCAGCCCCTACCTGTGTGCACCAGGCCTCTATCCTATATAATAAAAAGGTAATA